ATAAAAAACTCTACCATTACTTATGCTAGCTGTGAAAATAACTCTGTTTGAATAAGATGGGTTTATATCATGCTCTGAGACTTTATAACATTTTAAATAAAATAACAAAACCACATAACCATAAGACATAGTAACAAGCTGTGAAACTATTTTCATTTAGCTTTTAAACAATATCCTCTACAATTACATTCCATCTAAAAACTACAAGGGGGCTGGTGACATCATGGCTCAAGTGCCCACCTAGCAAGCCACAAGGGCCCTGAGTTCAAACTCCAGTACCACCAAATACATACATACATACAATGTTCTCTTAGTTTTTAGCTTATAGTTTTTAACAGTCTTTTAATTAATACTTATCAGTCTTTTAATTAATATTTATCACTTCCCAACTTTGTGAAAGGCTGGGAAATTAAAGACCTGGCCCTGAACAGTTTAGAAATTCATAAGCAAGTAGCATAATCACAGCTGTACTTTGGGAAAAGTAACCTCATCTCAGTACTGCATTGGACTAGTCACTCAGACCAGGTAAAGGGCTAGTAATGTAAACAGCCCAAGACAGAGATAAATAGAAGGTCTAATTTAGGAAGGTGACAATGAAAATTTAAATAAAAAAAGAATAGATATAAATGCTCTGTGCTTTTACATTTCTAAGGAGTTTCTTACAGAATATTACCACTGTGGAAACAATGTTTTTTTCTCAGCTACGGGAGGAGAGCAATTTAGGTGGTCAACTGCACTTTTGTACATATTATGAAGTATGACCTATCATTGTATTACAGGTGAGAAAGTAATCTGTGGGATGTTTAGACACAAACAATCTGAGTGTTTAAATACCTACATCTTACCACCAGAACTAGTTACATACCATTTAGATTTTAGCTTTGACTTCTAAAACCAAACATCAACAATTCAAAAATCAGATACAAAAAACCTTTCTCAAACTAAACTGGGAACAAGGGAGTATAAACCATGAGTTCTAATGAAGATTTGAAAGACCGTATTTTCATTTCAATAACATATTTTTAAAAGTATACTCTGGATAAATATCCAAAATCAATGATGTAAGAATTAGGGCAGACTAAAGAACAGGAACTTGTAAGGTAAATGACATTTGTGCCAAATGAAAGTCAAACCACTTAACCTGTGGTGTAAGGAAAAAAGCTCTGCAGTGTTCAAACACAGGAAAGTAGTAGGAACTTAGTCATCATAGGAAAATAGTAAATAGAGAACTGCACACCTGTGTCAAGGCGGACAATAGTATATCCACTATGCAAAGAAGGATCTAGTTTCAAGCCAGGCACGGTGGTGCACACCTCATCAGCACTGGGAAAGGTGAGGTAGGAGGATTAAGAGTTTGAGGCTGGCCTGGGCTACGTAATGAGACCCTGTCTCAAAAAAATCCAAAAGAGGACTGAAGGTATGGCTCAAAGGTAGAAAGTGGTAGAGTGCCTTCTCTATAAGTACAAAGATCAGAGTTCAAACCCCAGCCCCACAAAAGAAAAAAAAAATTAAGTTTCAAGTTTCGCTAAAACACCCATCAACCTAAATTTCATTTTAGTTTTACTTCTATAAATTTAGTTCTGTTTTATCCTAGTTATATATATATACATATACACATACATATATACATAGATATATATATAGATCTATCTATCTATATAAATACAGAAAGAGAGAGAGGGTAGGAGAGAGAAGAATGAATAAGAAAGTAAGAATATCTTAAAAGTTCAGGTCAACACCAGGAATTCACGATTATTTATTCCTTTAAAAGGGAACTGTAGCTGGGTACTGGTGGCTCATGACCATAATCCTAGCTACTTGGGAGGCAGAGATCAGGAGGATCACGGTTCAAAGCCAGTGGGCAAATGTTCATGAGGCCCTATCTCGGAAAAAAAAAACTCTCACAAAAAAGGGCTGGTGGAGTAGCACAAGCAGAAAGAGCGCCTACCTAGCAAGCATGAGGTCTTGAATTCAAACCCCAGTGCCATAAAAAAAAAATTTTATAAAAAGGAATTGTGTATTGTTCATGCTTAAGATTATCACATTAGGAGATGAAGCAGAAGGACCACAAGTTTGAGGCCAGCCTGAGCCCAGGAGGGAGACCTGTCTTAAACAAACAAAAAGATTAATACATGGTAGGAAAAATGGGGAGCTCCAAATCAGAAAGATCTACTGTCAAATCCTGGCTCTCCTAGTTGTTTATCATGTAATCTTAGGCAATAATACCTCTGAGCCTCAGTTTACTCATGGGGTCACTATGAAGATAGTTATGAAAGAGACTGATAAAGTTTTTATCCTGCTCCTCTAACTAAATTAACTTCTTCTCATTTCTCTATTTTTTTATGGCATTCAGTATTCTATCAAATCATAAAATCTTGTCATCTGACATCACACATAATATGTGATTACATTTTCTCAGTGACTCCATCCCTCTACAACAACAGTAACCAAATCACCAAAGCTTGGAGCCTACTATGGTATTTTAACCTGACTCTGCTCTCATCTATAATACATATTGCATAAATGTTACTGGATTTATCTCCCTGGGTACATTTTGGAAGCTGTCAACTCTCTTACTCAAAAATTTTCTGTAACTGTCAAAGCTTTCTGCAGTAGGATCCCATTCAACCTGTTCTAACTTTACCTCCAATGATTCTTTTTGTTTGTTTGTTTCCTTGTTTGTTTTTTGAGATAGGGTGTCTACAGCACAGGCTGGCCTTGAATTTGCAATCCCCCTACCTTCACCTCCTGAAAGCTTGGATAACAGACATTGGCCCTGTGTCTGCTCCAATAATTCTGAAACAGAAAGCTCCCTCAGGCATGACATTAAGGTTGTTTTTACCTCTTATCCCTATACAGTATATAATCCATACAAGATACCCAATGCAAGTTGACTATCCCTTATCCAAAATGCTTGGAACCAGAAGTGTTTCAGATTCCCAAGTTTTTCGGATTTTGGAATATTTGCACAGACTTTACTGTTGATCATATCCTAATCAGAAAATTCAAATTTTGGGCTGGAGGCATGGCTCAATTGGTAGAGCGCCTGCCTAGTGAGCGTGAAGCCAAATTCAAACCCCAGTGCCACAAAAAGAAAAAAAAAGGTGGGGTGTGTGTGTGTGTGTGTGTGTGTGTGTGTGTGTGTGTAAGGGGTAGCATTTGCACTGGAGGCAAGTGCTCAGAGGTAGAGTATTTGCCTAGAATGACCAAGGCCCTGGATTCAATCTCCAGCCTTGGGAGTTAAAAAAAAAAAAACAAACAAACTAGAAATCTACTCCATAGAAAATCCAAAATGCTACAAAATCTGGAACTTTTGAGCAAAGCATTTTGGATTTTAGATTTTGAAGTTAGGGATGCTCAACATACAATAGTGTTTGAACAGTAGTAATGAAACCCTAAAGCCAGGTGTAGTGGCCCAAATATATGTACAAATCCTCCCACTTGAGAGGCTAAGTCAGGTGGTTTGAGTTCAAAGCCTTTGTAGACTGTATAATGAGACTCTGACTCAAACAAACAAAAAAGAAAACTAATGAAAAAGCATTTTAATCTCCCTAGTTTTTTAAAATCCTTAGTCTTACTACTAAGTAAGCTGGGCTAGCATGAATCAAATAATTACAACATAAAAGCTGTAATTTTTTTTAAAAAAAGAACCAAATTTCTACCAGATAATGCAAGATAAAATTATATTTTTAATGAATAATAATCATTAACTAAACATTCTAATTAGCTCTTGAGTATTTTCTCTAAATTTTTTTGGTTGCTCATTCTTGTGAATAAAAGTCAAAGGTCCAAACTATACCCACACGTTCACACAAAATATTTCCCATCTGCATACACTATATAATGAATAATATCATATGGTATCACTCTGCGGCAACTTGAATAAGAAAATTTACAGGTAAACATAAACATTACTTGTGAGCACTTCTTAAATATTAATCTCTCTGTTTACTCTCATATACTCAATGTCATTGACCCAAGCTTCTATTACTAAAGCTAGGGAAAAAAAGAGGATTCTGAATTAATGTATAAAAATTTGATTAACATGTAGCCTTTCTAACATTCCTGCTGTATGCAAGGAGACAAGACTGTTCAGGGACCCTGTACCACAATCTAAACATACTCAGATCTTCAGATTACCTAGATTACCTAACAAAAGTCAACTGCAGCCATCATGAAGTCAATCAAGCCAGTTCTCCAGCTCTCTAAACAAAGAGCTAAGAGGTCCAGGCATTTAGAATGTAGCAGAGGTTTCAGTTTGTTTTTTACCAACTTCGTGTATGAGCTGCAAACGCTAGCATCAAACCATCACACCTCTCCTTAACAATGAAGGCAAAACTTATAACCAAAATAGAGTTCCCAGAGGTGAATTTCACAGGCAGTATAAAGTCTATTGTAAAATCTTCCATAACTTTACTCTCTGAATTCATGACATTGGATGGGAACAGAGAAGAATGTCCCTGAAAAGCATGGGTATAAAATATGACTGACAAATGGCTGGGCCATAGGGACCATTCTATGGATGGCAGAACCATAAAAGAAAAAATATATATATTACTGCTACAAAACTGTCCATCTGCTTAAAAAAATGTGAGGATCCACACCCCAACAAGTTATAGACTATGATCTCAGTCAGACCTTAAATGCAGAAGAAAATGCCAATGCTCTGTCTCCTTAAAGAAACATACAACCCCCAAAACTGCTGAACACCCTCAAACCAACACCCGGCAGAGTGGCTATTTTAAATATTCCATCAGGAAATCATGATAAGCACTAGCGGTTCCTCTAGGCCTCAGCAGCAGCCTTAGGTACATGAGCAAACTCGAGCCCTCTTAATAGTCAAAGAATCATGTTGATGTCATTACGAGGCTACTGATTCTTTGCACTCCGGACAAGTCATTCCTTGATCCACAACGCACTTCCTCTTCCACCCACCCGCACCTTCCAAAACACGGCGATCTGCAGACAGAGAAGCCGGCGGGAACCCCCTCCTCCCCTACCTCCGGCGGCCGCCGCTTTCTCCTCCTTCGGGCTCCGAGGTGGGGGCTCCAGAAGGTCCCGGGCAATTCTGAGCCGGGCAGTGCTTGTTTTGCCCGTGCACAGTAGCTCTGCCCAGTCGCTTCCTTCCCCTGTCTGCCCAACTGGAGAGCTACGGGTACACCGGGACCGAGGAGTGAGTCGGGGTGGCGACGTCGCCGCTGCCTCCGCCTCTGGTATGTCAGGGGCCGGGATTGTATTTCGAAAGATCCGCCATTTTCACCTCGTCATCACCATCACAGCTCAGCAGCTTCCCCGACAGCCTAGCCGGGACGCCGCCGCCGCCGCCGCCGCCGCCAGTCACCTCCCCCTTCCTACTCCTCCCCGCCCCGGCCCGCCCTCCTGAGCCGCGCACACCCACATATCCGGGGAAACCTCCAGCCGGCCCCGCCAACCTTCAAACGCACACCCCAGGCTCGAGTGCTCACCTGCGGAGCTAAGCCGAGACCTTTCACCCCGAGACCCAACACCCCGCTCCCTCGGGCACCGCAGGAACGCCCGGGCTGGAAGCGCTACCTGCGGGGTCCCAAGTCGGGCATATTTCTGTTTAGAAGAGCAAAAGCCATGCGGAAGGTGGTATAAGAACAATAAAGAACCCAAACTCTTTCATTTTCAGAAAAGCACTCGAAAGAGATAGTGGGATGCATTTCATTCACTGTATCCATCTCAGATGATGAAGACTCTATGGAGACCTTTAATGTCACTCATCAGCTTTGACATTCTACTCCACCCGCGGAACTGCTGACAGCATGAGCTACTTCCCTATGCGTGTCTGACCTCTCTGACACCATGGCAAATTACAGTGATCCTCATGCAGATTATTTAATTATTAAAAATAAAAAATTTCCTCTCCACTTAACTTGATCTGGTCATTTCTGAGCATGAACACTGTGACTTCCAATTTGTCATCGCCACTAGATTTTAAATGTATTGATCCAACTGTGGAAACATTCATGAATGATCAATTGCTAAAATATAGAAAACATACTTTAATATTCTTCACCAAATGTTTTCAAAATCTAAAGCATTAAATTAAAAACCATCTGCCACTGAAATATTTGTTCAATATAGTGAAAATAAACAGCTGCTTTACAACAGCAGACCCCTAGACGGCTCCTATCATCATTCAGTTTATTAAGTAACTAAAAAACAACATAGGTATTTTTTAATCAAATAAGAAAACAAGCTGCAAGACTTCTGATGAGACTAGTATTTTAAAAAAATAGCTGTCTCAATTAATTTCAGGAAGATTTAATAATCATCCATTCAAAAGGTGAATTCTCTACCATTCAACCACCTAAGTTCTGAGAGACCTATTTGAAATGAACAAATTGAATTTCAAGATCGAGAACATGGCCACTCTTCTGTCTTTTTAAAAAGTTACTCTTAAGAGTAAGGTAGAAGTAGAGGCCATTTCATCTTCCAGCCTTGTTGGAATGACAACTCCATATAAAAGACAGTAGGTTCAGGCTTAAACAAGTGCTGTCTACCACTCACTACGAGCCACGTTCTTACATGCAGCCTGCTAGAAGATGAGGGTAGAACATGTCCCCAATTTCTTCATCTTTAAACTTTATTTGCCCACCAACAGCCGGGTCCACCCGCACTCTGATGGTTGTTTACCGTTGCTTGGCCCAGCTAAGTCCCAGCCCGCTCCCTTCCCCCGTGCACCTCGGGAACATTATGACATTTGGCTGGTGGGCTTCGCGAGGGAAACGGACACACACCAAGAAGAGCCCATACAAAGGGGCGTAGGAAGGACGCGGCGGCGGGCAGCATCGAGAGGAGGGGCTGATACAAAATGACACAGCAGCAAAACCGGTTCCCAGAAGCCCGGGGCCGACACGGCGGCTCCTCCGGCCGAGCTGCGTGCGTGTCAACAGCCGCGGAGCCTTTCCTCAGACCGCGGGGCCAGCCGAGCGCTCGCCCCGCCGAATGACAGCAACCCTCCCGGGTGCTGGCGGGAAGGGGCCAAGCCCCGAGGATCCCCGCGCCCTGCGGCCCCCGCCCGTACCCTCCCTCTCTCGCCACGGCCCACCAGCCCAGGCTGCCAGAGGGAGCGGTTCGGCGCTCTCCGCCCGCGCGGCCACAGGCAGCGGGGGGCCAGTGCCCCTTCCCGCCCGCCCGCCCCAAAGCCCCTCTCTCGGGGGCTGACACTCACCAAAGCCGGCGGCGCCGCCGCCTCCTTCTCGCGCCGCGCTCCCCGGGCTCCCAGCAGCCGCGGCGGCGGCGGCGCCTCCGAGACACAAACCCGGGTTTGTTCAAAATCACGCGCCCAGCGCCATTCCACCGCCGCATCCCATAATACGCTGGGCCCGCCCCGCCCGCGCGCCCCTCTCCTCCCGCCCCTCCATTCGGCCCGCCCCGCCTCCCCAGCCGGCTTCCTTCGCCCCGCCCCTTCCGCGCGCCTCGCCCCGCCCCTTGACAACCCGAGCCCGCGTCATGCCGCAGAGCTCAGTGGATACGCTCCCGCTCCACGTGACTCGGAGTGGGCGCTCTGTCAAAGCTTTCGCACGGAATGTTCCATTGGGCTGGGACCCGGGGGGTGGAGGAGTGCGCATGAGTCGGGGGATTCCTGGTTCACGCCTGCAGTAGGGAGGTACTTGTCTTTTGGTCAATCTACCTTTCCTTGTTAGGAAGTCTGCGCTGTAGGTGCGATTTTCAGCATCCCCTCGCTTGTCTATGTGCTTGGGTATAAGGAGGTGATCGAAATTCACAAATGCAAAATCACTTCGTTGTTAGATACGAATTTTTACAACGGCTGTCAAAAAGCCCCTGGGAGACCCACACAGACTTAAACTTATTTTGAAAGGGACTTTTTTTGTTTTTGCAATATAGTATACGTCTAAGACTAATGCAATCAAAATTCTTTGTATTTAGGCACCTTTTCCTTTTATTTTTACAGCTATTTATAAAATGACCAAATGTAGAGTCAGAGTATTTAGTGAATAACTACGAGACAAGAGCCTCGCAAATGAAACAACACAAAAATATAAGAGTATAAATGTAAAACGGTGGTGCTACTATTGCCAGTGGACTACAGAAGACATACAGGTCAGCGTGAGAGACTAGCTGGGAAACTCAGTGGAGGAGGTGAGCTTTATGTCATAGTAGAAGGAGCAATCGCTTTGTTTTTATTTATTTATTTAATTTGGTGGTGCTGGGGTTTGATTTCAGGGCCTTGTGCTTTCTAGGCAGGTGTGCTACCACTTGAGCCACTCCACCACACCACACCAGCTATCACTTTAGAATCAAACACTCCGAATTTTAAATTCTGTCTCCTCCACTTATTCGTTATTAAAAGTCTGTTTCTTTTCTTATTTACAAAATAAAAATAAGACAACTGCCCAGGATTATAGTGGCGAAATAAAATGAGAGTTTTCAAGCAGCCACAGGGTCTCTGCCTCAAATGTTAGTTCTACTGAGCCATACCGTACCTCTCAGTCCAAACTCAATGGTTAGGATTCAGCAAGGCAAGTGGCATGAAATTAGCAAAGGCTTAAAAGTAGAAAGTGTGTAGCATGTACCAGGAAGTGAGAAAGTTGAGAAAGCTGAACTACATACATGCGTTTTGTTGGGGATGAGTAGTGTGAATCCAGTTTATGGGGAACCTTGACAGGTAGTGAGAAATTCTGGTCAAATGGCTGGTGGCACTGTGGGGGCATCTCTGGAAGGATGAAGGGAGAGAGATGGACTACAAAAACAAGCTGGATTTTAGGACGACAAAGAATTCCCCAACAGGAAGAAAATTTCTCCATTAGCATAATTCTGATAACCAACACCCAAGAAAGTACCCCAAAACAAGAGACACACTTTCATTCTTGCTATGATTTTATTACAAAGACAAAATAGACTCAATAAATTTTTATCAACCCCAGCAATATAGTAGTAAAAACAATTCATATCATTACAAAAGTACAATTTATTTCAAGAATGGTAGTTTTACATTATGAAATATACTTGTGTTGCTTAGAATAGTGGCTTATGCCTGTAATCTCACCTACTCAGATGGGGGTAGTGGGCAGGAGGATTGCGTATTGGAGGCCAGACCAGCCAGATTCTATCTCAAAACAAAATAGGAAATCAAAGGGTCATTGGGTGACTCAAGGGGTAGAGTGCTTGCCTAGCATAGAGAGAGAGAGAGATACTTGTTAATTTACTATAGGAGAAAAAAAATGATGTTCTTTAGAGATGCATTGTATAACAGTCAACAACGAATCTCTATTTTAAAGATTATTAGTAAATTAGGAATAAAAGAATGTTTTCTAGCCAAGCTTGGGAGACTAAGGAAGGAGGATCTTAAGTTGGAGGCCAGCCTAGGCTATGTATGATACCCTGTCACCTGACAGCCCTCCGATCCAAGAATACTTCCTTAACTGGATCATGATAGTGATCAGGAAAAGTAGCAACATCCTACATTATAGTGAAATGGCAGAGGCATTGCTATTATGACAAGAGGTTACTTGTTAGGAACCCCCCAAAAATATGGAGATGTAAGCACTATTATGTCACATTTATCAGAGTGTCCATCCAAATGCAATTAAATAAGCGAAAAAGATAGCCCCTCTGTAATCCTGGTTACTCAGGAGACAGAGATCAGAAGGATCAGGGTTCAAAGCCTGCCCCACAGGGCAAATAGTTTACAAGACCCTATCTTGAAAAAAACCATCACAAAAAAGTGCTGGTGGAGTGGTTCAAAATGTAGGCCCAAGTCCCCCGTGCCCCCCACGCCCTGCCCCCCCCCAAAATTAAGTGTAGGGACTGGGAATGTACTTAGTGGTAGAGAGCTTGCCTAGCTTACGTAAAGTCCTAGATTCGACCCTCAGCAGCAAAGAAGAGGGGGAGGGGAAGGAGGAGGAGAAGAACACTCAAGTGGTAGAGCACCCCCTGAACCACAAAAAATAAATAAATAAATAGAATAATCCTAAAGCCCTCAGGTTAATTGCTTGACCTCTGGATTCACACCGCCTGGGCACAAATCCTAGTCCTTCAGTTTAATGGCTGTGACAACTTGTACAAGTAGTTTTCTTTTGTGTGTCAGTATCCCCATCCCTTGCCATTAGGTTTTTGTTGTTGTTGTTTTGTTTTTTTTGTGGGACTAGGGTTTGAATTTAGGGCCTCATACTTGCTAGGCAGGGGCTCTTACAGTTTGACTCCTGTCAGCCCTTTTTTTATGATGGGTTTTGTCCAAAATAGGGTCTCTCAAACTAGCCATTTGCCAGGGGCTGGCTTAGAACCAA